TCACCTGCCAAGCTCAGCACCCTCGGGGCTCCCTGCACGTCTCCCTGAGCCTCTCTCTGCAGAGTGAGTGCACCGGTGGATGGGGGAGGGGCTGGAGGAGGAGGAGAGCACCCACCCCACCCCACAGTCCACCCAGCAGCCCCCTGAGCTTCAGAGGGGAGCTCAGCTCTGCTCTGTGCTCGTTTGTGAGGCCTGGAAATTCCCTGGGACTGAGTCTCACTGTCATCTTCCTGCCAGACCAGTGCTGTGGGGTGGGGCAAGGGCTGGAGGGGGAGCCAGGGAAGGAGGTGGGTCTTGGAGGAGAGGGGCTGGGGCCTGGACTGGTGTGTCTGGGGACATAAGGTCCTTGCTTTTTGGGGCTGGGAGGAGGGTCAGGCGAGTGTAGGACATACCATGGCCACAAAATTGAAAGATAAGTCAAAAAAATCTTAGTAATCAAAAGAAATAATACTGAAATGCAATATTTTTAAAAAAAATAAACATAAATGCCATGAAGAACAAAATATCAATATCTTAAATAAAGACAGGCTGCAACCCAGCACTTGTATGCCTCACTCTCCTCACCCTAACCACCCCGCCTCCCATACCCCCATCCCCATGTCTCTGTTTCTCTATCTGGTAAAGTGGACTGCACACAGAAGTGTGGGGTCCTACGGGGAGTGGGAGGAGAAGAAATTGAGCTCTCGGAGGAGAACAACCAATAATCCAATCCTCTGCAGGAAAAGCGTGTCCTTTATCAGGAGTGGCGCTGGGTGCAGTCTGGGGAGCAGGTGTTAAGACTCTACTCTTTCTGTCCTTCTGCATCATCGTCATCATGTGAGCAGGGACCTGGGGAGGGAGGGAGAGCCCTGGGGAGGGAAGGGCAGGCAGCCACGGATCATTGAAGCCAGAGCTGGGGGACTGGGTGGGTCCAGAGCCTGAAGCAAGGGCAGGAAGGAGACCCCTGGCACCCAGGTGAGTCTGTCACAAACCCCGGGCCCCACTGTCGGGGAAGGGGGAGCCTGTTGTCAACCCTGGGGTCTCTGGGACGCGACCACGCCTCTCCTATCTCAGTCTCCCGTCCAGCCCCTTAAGAGAGAGCAGAGGAGGGGTCAGTCTGCCCACTGCACCCTGAGCTGGCCAGACTGAAAGGCTCTCTGGTCTCTTCACTCAGAGTGAGGTCCCGCAGGAAGAAAGCAGCAAGGCCAGCGGTGGGCATGGAGGACACAAGCATGGAGGGTGCAAATGCAGTCACAAGGTAAGTCTCTCAGTGAGTGACCTGTGTATCTCGCCATCCATCATCTTGCCTGGACGCCTCCCCCAGGATGGCTCCCTGAATTGCTCTGCTCAGCATGGCCAAAGTTGTTCTCCTCATCTCCTCCTCCTCCCCCAGGGTCAGATCCTCATCTAACTGACAGCAGGACAGCCCCCTCCTCTTTCCTTCAGGCTAGGATCAGAGGAATGACCTTCTTTCTGTCCTGCCTTTCTTCTGCTTCGGCCAAATACTCACCCCGTCTTTTCCGTGTTTCCCCTTAAGAACAGGTAGCATCAGTCTCCCTCCCTCCTTTTTGACCCCTGTCATTGCTGAGGCTTCAGGAGCTCTTTCCTGGACCCCTCATCTCCCTGCCCCTCATCTCCCTTGCTCTACACAGAGTGATCATCTAAAAATCATCATTGTCTAATTCCTCTGTATTTGAACATCTGTTTGCCCCCATCACCTAGAGCAGAGGCCGGCAGAGTTTTTCTTTCAAGGGCCAGAGAGTAAATGACTTTGGCTTTGTGGGCCATACGGTCTGTGTTGCAGCCACAAAACATTGCTATTGCAGTGTGAAAGCAGCCTTGGACCATATGTAAATGAATGAGCATGGCTGTGTTGCAGTAAAACTTTATTTAGAAACACAGGTATGGGGCCGATTTGACTCATGGGCTGTAGTTTGCTGACCCCTGACCTAGAGAATGAAGCTCACACTCCTCAGCCTGCAGCCCTGCATATGCTGGCCTCTCAGCACCTACCTCTCCAGAAGGGCCAGGGTTAGGGTGAGGAGGGTGAGGCACTCGCCCCAAGTGCAAAACTTAGAAAGGTGACAAAAATCTCAGCAATCGAGATAATACTTCAATGCACTGTTTATAAAAAATCAAAATTAATGAAAAAATTTCATGAGGAGCAAAATATAAAAAATCTGAACAATGGTAGGATCAGTAGACTCAAGTTAGTTAATAATAATTTAAGATCATAACTTGGTCAAGAGAAATTGTCACACATGGCAGTGTTCTCAGCTGAAAACGAGAGAGTCAGAGAAGCAGATTTTGAAAATATTCT